CACACACACTGAAAACTCAGCTGGAGCCAAATTAGGAAATTTGGCCTGTAGGGTAAATTAGTTTATATTGCATTTAGAGGCTGTAGAAATCTTCTGGGCTGTGATATGAAACTCTAAACTCTCTGCAAGGTTTATTTTTTTTTTTTTCCACTGCTGAGGTAGATGCCTAAGAGGTGCTTTGAATATACACAATGACTTAAACTCATCCAGATTGCCCCTAATTTTCTGGTGATGACTGTTGTTCATAGGAGAACACCATCTTTCAGAATCAAACCAGAGAAGGAATCTGCAGCTTTTTTCAGAAATTTAAAGGAAGATGGGATTGCAGTGACCCAAGCCTCCATCACCACTTTGAACCAAGAACAAAAGTGGTAATAGCACAAAACTGCCTTCATCTCTACTAGAAGCAGGAAGAGGAAAATAACATTTGCTTCAATGAAAAACAGACCCTTCACCACTGTATCTAACCTCTGCAAATGTATTCATAAGTTTTAATTTAATCACTACCTTTGGAACTTATTTTAATTAGGCATTAAATCTGGTAAAGTCATTAAATATAATTAAAAAGAACATCTGGGATACTTCTGTGGATACAACTTTGTCATTCACCCTATCACCTAAGTAATACATACTCCAAGTCACTTAATGGAAAAGGAGAGGGAACTTTAATCCAGACAGCTCACATGAAGTGACTGCAAGATGGAAGTTTGCCCATCCACCCTCTCAATGCAACAAGCAGCAAAGCTGTATTTAGCAGCCTTTGTTCAGTGGCTAAGACTGAGGACCAGAGGTATAAAGACAAGGACCCACACTAGTCCTCTGATGCTGGCTAAACAAGATGTAGAACCTGATGTAAAGGTGGAGAATCAAAAGAAAAGGAAAAAAAAAAAAAAAGAAACAACTAAACACGGTCTGAGGCAATTTTCTGCATAAAATGCCCTCTTTGCTTTCACAGTACCCTGCGTTGGAAAAAAGATGATAAGCGTATACTGAAAGAAATGATCATGCATCCACAGTGGAGCATTTTTCAGAAGACCTGTCGCTGTTTTCAGATATCGTACAGCAACAATTCAGGTGTCCATTGCTGCAGGCCTATAAGAGACTCCAGTTTTAAATTGCTGGAGCTTGATTTTGACAAATGAGAGGAACTAGATGCTGTCAGCTCTGTGCCTCCCTCCCAGGGCTCATTGGTCACATCAAATTGCATTACCGTAGCTTTGGATGAGATCTGACTTAAGACCTGCAACCTGATCACCAATCTCCATAGATGAACGGTAATTGCACTTAAAAATTTGTCTCATCTTAAAATGTTTTAATGCCCTAAATTTTGTCTTGAGGTGTTGATGTAAGGAACACATTGAATGGGCAGTGCACAGTTAGCACAGCTTTAGTTGTCTGGTGCTCTCAGTGGAACTCTTCAAAATCATGGCAACTGAACATAAGCATTAGTCTTGTTCTATGATAGAAGAAAATCCCTTGGCAGTCACCTATGTGTCTCTCCCAGGAAAAGGGCAAATGAAAGAGCATTTATTTCATAATGAAATGAACTTTTCAGAGTTTCTCAGACTATTCTAGGGAAGACATTCAACCTTCACACATTAGAAATTCAAAATACTGTGGGATTAAATTATTACACATAAACCTTTCTTTCTGCACCTGCAAGCATACCAGTGCACTTCATGCTGTTCTAGTATAAATTGTTTTGAACAGCTGAAAATGGAAATGTTCATCAGATCCAGGTGGGTTGTAATGTTGTTGGTTAGCAAGCATGATGTTTTACTAAGAAAAAGGCACATTTGCAAAATTATTCTGCTATGCTATAAATAGTTAATATTTTCAACATTCTCTTCTGCAATTGTTTCAGTGTCGCATTTACCACTATAATGATCAAATAGAGAGGCAATAATATATTTTGTCATTTGCCAGAGGCGTGGGAGGCCTTGAAAAAAAGTAGATTGTGATATGGAAGCCTGCCATTATTGTATGTTAATTGAAGAATAAGTGACATCCACACCTACAGGTAAGCTAGGGCTCATTAGTAATTACAGGGCAATATTTTAAAGCAAAGTATGGTGTAGTGTTTTTCCTCATAGGATAGATACAGTAGCCTGCTGATTTCATCAGCTGGATCACCCAGTCCTTGTGCTTTTACCAACTCTTCCCAAAGCAGAAGCCTCAGGTGCATGTGATATCGAAGGAGGACTCCATCCACCTCTGCTCAGCTCATTTCCTCATCCCTATAAAAACTACATTTCAAGTCCCGTGCCCCTACCTGCTCACTTAAGTCCTGGCACTTCAAAGTGCAGTGAGGAGGCACAAACCATCACTCTCCCCAAGGCATAGGCTGCTGTTGCTCAATAAGCAGCCAGTAACTGGCAACAATAGCTGTAGCTCTTGAACTGAGATGCATGTGAAATATTTCAACATTCTTTATTTCAGAGAATCTTTCCCTCCAGAAGCCGCAAGGAGGGTTAGAAAAGATACATACCGTGATGTATGTCAGCAGTAGGAGGTCCTCCCTACAGAAGCACTGGAAGGAAGGGAATGACTTTGACTACAGCTACAAGGAACCAGATAGGAACAAACTGAAAAAAAAATCTCACGTAGTTATCTGAGGCACAAAGATTGGTTTGGCTTTCCAATTTTAACCTGATTTTGCTCCATCCTTTGATATTTCTCTCCTTCTTTCTTCCTGCAAATGTTTTACTTTCAGGAACTGGTTTATACCCCATTAATGTAGGTTATATGTATATTTTTTGTTGACAATGTCACTGACATTGCTAAACCTGCTGCTTTCAGTATTCCCCTGGCTCGTTCAAAGTTCTCCATGGATTTGTCATTCCACAGCATGCACTGATGAGTAGTTTATCATTGCAAGAAGTTACAGTTTTATGCTACTTTTATTACATGTACCAATTGATTAGTAATGAAAGCTTGAAGCAGAAAGCTAAACCCATTGCCCAAAGCACCTTGCAGCTTTGAATAGACTATATGGGCATTAAGATTAAGAAAATGGGTCAGTAAGATGATGCCTTAGGAAAGCCAAGAGCTGCTGTCTCAATGAACATGATCAGCTGCTTACATACTATCTTACACAGGTTTGGTTGTTCTGGGAATGGGAGATTTTGGACCTGAAAAGAATGTTAGTTTTTCCTTCCACCACCCCTTTTGCCACCAATAAACCAATGTGCAGATACACCAGGACTGCTTAGAGTCCCAGACCCTTTTTCACTGAATGGTGAGAACACAGTCAGTATGCTTTTAAAAATGTATTCTTGCCTGGAGCAAAGATGTGACTGCCAGTGCTTTTCCAGGAGAAGTCCAAGCTTGGAAGAAAGGCCTCTGGCATGAGACTGCTGGTGGCTTTTACTTTTCTTCCTCTGTGTCTCTGCCTGGATATGCAATAAGGTGATACAGCTGCAAGTTTCATCTTCATGAACTTATGGCTAGGAGGTATAATAAATAATGTAGGGAAGTGGCAGGCCTGCAATAGAAGCAGGGCATAAGTTTTTGTCTGGAGACCAAATGCTCTCTTGTCCGCAGGTTCACCCCTGCAATGGGCTTGTGGAGAGTTAAGTTTTATTTTTCTTGTTCTGAAACAGCTTTTTAACCAGTCAATCAGCAGATCCAGAGGGGAAGAGCATCTCAGCACACTCAGAACAGTCTGCTGATGAGCTGTGTCATCTGAGGTACCAACGCCAGCCTTGCTGTGCTGGGCTGAGCCAGGCACCATTGGACGCACCCCACAGAACCCTCCAGTGCCAGGTGGGGCTGCCGGAGCTGGGTCCCCACTTGTTAAGGTATGGCACAACCACGAGAAGTAACACTTTGTTGGGGCCTTATTTTCTACCTTCTTATCTCTGTTTGTGAGCCCTTCAAGAAAACCTAGCACAAGCAGGGGAGAAATTAGTTATTTTTCACCCAGGATAGTACAATGGCGAAGGCTTTTCCTTGTGAAGTGAAAGCTAAAGCTTCAGGTCCTTAGCTCCTCAGGTAAGGGTCCTGTTTTAGCTATTCTGAAGCATGGTTTTTGCTCTCCTTTGTCTCAACTAACTTTTCAGTGGGAGAACGAAGAGTGCACGGCCCCAGATTTATGTAAACGCTTTTGGTGTGCGTGCAGCTCCTTGAGTTTAAATTCGTGCTGTGACTTATTCCAATAGAGCCAGTAAAGTGAGCAAATCACCATGCTTCTTGGCCAGTTTGGCCCTCTCTGTTGCTGTGCCTCTACTGGAACTGTTTTCAGTAACAAAAAACAGTAACAAAAAGGGGTGCATTTTCACTTAGAGTTGATCTTTAGCTGTTTCTACGCGTTAAAAAAAAACTTTTATAAAACTTACGGAGGTTGTTTTTATACATTTTATAGGGGCATAGAGCAACAGGACAAGGGGAAATAGCTTCAAACTGGAAGAAGGAGTTAGACTAGATATTAGGAAGACATTCTTTACTGTGAGGATGGTGAGAGACTGGTACAGGTTGTCCAGCAAAGTGGTAGATGCCTTCCCTGGAAGCATTCAAGGCCAGGCTGCATGGGGCTTTGAGCAACCCAGTCTAGGAGGAAATGTCCCTGCCTACAGCAGGGGATCTAGAACTAAATGATCTTAAAGGTTCCTTCCAATCTTATATTCTATGATTCTATTATTTTAAACTCATTGTTTAGTTGATAATACTAAAGCTCAGTAAAAGGCAGGCTTCTCTACACATTTAATCACTCAGAGTGGAATGGTGCAGTGTTCTGGCTGCGGCTCAGTAGAGCTGTGTTCCTATCCAGCCTGTGCCATTCTCTCAGGAGCATTTATTTGCCACAGGAGTTCATATTTCCGCTCTTTTCCAGCCTCTCAATGCTTCTGTAAGACAGAACATGTCTCTGATTTTTCCACCCCATCTTGAAAGTAGTAAATGCTCTACAAAGCACTTAGCAGCAGCAGCAGTGCTGGTGCTACCACAAAGAGTTTAGTCCTGTGGTTAAGAAGTGCATAAAAACTGACAGGGGTCTGGTGCTCTTTTGCAACATTATGTTTTAATGGTTGTATTATTAAGCAGTTAATAGATATAAGCAATTTCTATACAGCTATAGCTAAGAATTGTAAGAACAAACATTTTTTCCTCTGTGTTCAGCAGCAGATAGCAAGCTCTGTGTTTCTGGGGGCTTTCCAGCTGAATGTTCATCTGAGAGCTGTGACCTGGGTTGCATTTTGGATGGGCACATTGTAGGCGTGAATTCATTTTCAACAGTTAAACAAACATAACTCCACAATGGCAGGCACGGACCTGTCCATAAGCAACACACGGGGATGAGGAACAAGCACACAACATTTCAGTGGTCCTTTCCTTTAGACTTGTGTCCACTAGAAAGAAGAGCAGGATCGAGGAGCAGACCTGAGCACAGGACACACTAACCAGCTGCACATCAAGCACTGTAAGTACACTTTCTGGTTCTGTGGGTTCAGGCTGTTTGACTGAGCATGTCTTAAAACACAACCCAGCTGTAGTGAGGACAACACGTGCCAGCCACCATTCCCCCAGCAAGCTGTGGGTGAGCCCGCAGGTCCCAGTCCCGCCACACTTCACCCCCACAAACACCCTCCAAGGCTTTCTGCCACACTGTCAGACCAACAACAAGCATCTTCGGCTTCACACAACAAAAAAGAAACTAACGCCACCTTCTTATAGGCAGTGGTGCAGCCCTCACATAATTACAGGCTTTGAAATGCAACAGAAAGCATTTAAAACTTAGGTATTGTCTTCTAATGCTACAAGGCTACCACACGGGATGCCAAGGAGGCTCTGGGGCACTTAGCACAGTGTTTGGCTGTGAGAGTAACCAGCAGCCCTGGCCCGGTGTGCAGTGCAGGATCATGGGTGACAGTTCCATGGCAAAGGGACCATCAGCACATCTTCACACCCCCCACCCCACCTTGACCTCCTTCATCCTACCATAGGGTTTAACAGTCCCTCAGAGAACCCGTTCCCCACCGACTCCCATGGGTTATCTGGGCACTCTGGGTTTGTGCTTTTTTTCCCATTTCTTTCACATTTTAGCAGGCATCTCTGTGTGCATTAGCAGCACTGTGCAGGCACAAACCATGCCCCAGTTACAAGTAGGTGAAGCACACAGAGCCTGTTTTCTCAGTGCATTCAAGGTGTGTCACTGCTGGCTACATGCTGTCAAGATCCCCGGGTGTTAGGGGTCACTCACTGTACCCATGAACAAAATGGGTTTTTTAGCAGCATGTAAAAATTAGGTGGATGAGGTAAAACAGCATACAGCCGCCTCTGCTCCTGTGTGCATTTGCCTGCACTAGGGCATACTGCACCAGGACATATTCTCCTACATGAAGGTCACAGATCCTGCTGGTAAGACTTTGTTTTCTGAGATACCCCTCCTGCTGTCATCTTAGTTTTCAAATCAACTCGAAACAGCTCTTTCTGTCTTTCTTGCAGCCATATCTGATTAATTCTTTCTTCTCATAGTGCTCCTCAACTCAGCAAGTAAGCCCCATACAAGGAGTACTGCGGAGGCTTATTTACTGCCTTTACTTGCAACAGAAGACAGCATTTTGTAGGAGCAGGGCTCAGGCAATGAAACTTTTTGTGGGTGTTCTCCTCTGAGCTCAGATACTGCCTGCATACACCAAATAGGCAGATCTGTTTCTCTTTCTTTAATTTTAAGTACAACTCATTCTAGATATCATCACAGAAGAAATGTGCAAGAGTTTCCTGGGCCTCTGTGAACGTCCTACGTTTGGATTAAATATGCCAAAAGCAGGCCCGACTCCTTCAGTGCTATGAAACCTAGAAACTTCTCTGATTTATGTTTCGTGCACTCCGTATCCTTCTCTACCATCTTTTTAATGCTGCGAAGAGCCGTAACAATATTCCAGGCTCTTAGATCAAGGCAGTATTTCTCACCATAATCCCAAGCAAATGAAAAACAGGCAGTGTTCTTTTCTGAGTATTTTCCTCCAGCAAAGAGGTGTGAAAAAGAATTTCCTTTTTTTTATTTCTGTTCCATTTTAGTGTAGCACCTATTAAAAATACCTTGCCTGTGATGTTAGGGATAAAGACTGTAAAGAGGAAAAAAATCTAGTTGTGAAAATGCAGTAACTATGCACTCTGTTACATTACTTATTTTATCCTGCATTCAGCTTGCATCCATAATAAGCATTAGCTTAGGTCTTGGTCATCGTTCTTGAATTAAATGTAGTTACTTGTGTCTATGGCAACTATTCACCCTGAGTTTTTTATTTCAAAAGCTCTTGACATTTTAATTCATACAGGCACTGCCCATATAAACGAAAATAATCACTCATGCCTTAAGTGGAATTTTTCCTCTAGCCAAAACTTGAAAGCAAGAACCATAGTCTCATGTCTTCTCTTCTTGAAATGTAACTGCCCCCTTCGTGGCAGTCTGGAGCAGCATTTCTGTGCCAAACATTTGCAGGGGAATGGAATAAAGGAATAATTTCTACATCAGCAAGGGGAATTAGCCAAACAAAATGTAACAGTCCGCACTGCAGATTGGCTGCTGTTAACAGGTATGTATGACTCTTTGGCCTGACTTCAGAGCTGAGCCCACCAATTCAGTGCAAATTCTTGCTGCTCAGCCTAGCTGAAAATCTGGACATTACTGAATGCAAATGGCCAGGACTTGGTTTGTAAATAATTGTATCATTCAAAAAGCACTGATAATGGCCTCAGGATTGAGGGAACAGGCACGTGTAAAGAACTATTGCTATAACCACCACCATTTTTTACAGCATTGGGGAATTCCTGAAAGGTCTCCGCTAACCAGGACTCTCATTTCTTGTCAAGTAAAACTACACTGTGAGGCTCTTATGGTCTGAAAACTTGGGTGAGGAAGATTGCATAAATTCTTTTGAAAGCCAGGAACTTGAACAAGGCAAGATGAGAAATGTACAGGTTTCCTGAGTCTCCTGCAAATCATGAACACTGTGATGCATTGTAATGTGACTGTGATTGTTATGAGTTCATTGTAATGTGACTGTTGTAGCCTTCAGTGAGGAAAAGAATGAAAACCCAGCCTAGGCATATCCAGCTCCAGAGTGGCTGGGGAGATTCCAAGTCGTGCAACTTATTTTCCGTTCTACAGCATTCTGAAGTGCCTGAAAGAGCAGGTCTCTGTTGTTGAGGATGTTGTACTTGCTCAGGTTCACAAGTTTGTCAAAATTTTCAGGAGAGTAGATTAGCCTAATGAGGTAATAGGGTGAACAGTTGTTTTCCAGATTTACTTTGCCTTCTTCCATCTCTGAGAGACTGCGCTTTTCCCCTGTGGACGAAGAGAAAAGCCACCATAGTGAGCTTTGCTTGATACACATCAGCTTTTTATGTAACTGAGTGTTTTCATGGCAATGAGACTTCAGTATGTGGGGCCCAGACTGACAACAGAAGTGACTATTAAAAATGTCCAAGCTTTGCTTTGCCAAACTTCCTGATATTTGGAGAGCCTTATTATCTGTGCTATCCACATCCAGATACAGCTGCATCTGCCTCAAGCACAGAAAAGTGCAGTCTGTAAGGGCATTGTAAATGGGAAATTCACAAGCCAATTCTTTCTCTTTTCTAGAATTTAAATAGTTAAAAGCAGAAAAAATAAATACCCACAATGATTTCCACAAGGTGTCTCTCAGCCATCTGGAAGTGAAAAGCTCCACTGTTAAACTTGAAATTCACACAAACAGGTTGCTAAGGTCCCTCCTCCTCCAACCACCCATATCAGCTGCTCTCAGCTTGACTGATGAATCAATGCCTGCTCAGAGACATGCAGGTGAGCATCACATCTCACACATTTAGGCCTGGAGCATTGAGAAGCTGCAGCAGCTGTGTTGCCCTGCATAATCTCATCCATGTTTCACATAAAGTGCCCCTAAGACACTTGTTTTATCAGCTAGCCTCTGTTCAGCAGCCTCACCTGATGGCACAGTGCCATTTGAACCATGTCCAGTCTCCACCTAACAAGCCCAGTCCCCTCTTCTAGGCACCTCCTCTTTGTCTGCAGTTTCTAAGTATGATTTTGTTGGAGTATCTGTTCACACATATACTCTCTAAGCATTAAGTGGTGAATCTCATATCAGAAAATGAGCTTTACTTAACCTCTGTTGCCGCTGTTCATAATTTTCCCCAAATGCATCCTCATTCATATCCCAGAGATAGAGGCAAATATGCATGAATGACCCTGATGGGTAGAAGATGGGATACTCTCACTCACACAAAGGCTGTGCCCTCTTCCAAAATTGTTAGGAAGAACAAAGAAGATCAATACTGTAGAAAGACAAATAACCCAAATTCAAGTAAAAAGACTAAACTTACCAGGTGCCTTGAATTCCTTAAATGTGTCATTCACAAGAGGGAAATGAATTACTATGGGTGCTCTCGGGTCCTCTGCATCTTCAAACACGTAACATTCCTTTGGGTTCTTTGCTTCTTCTTCACTTATCTCCACTTTGGGGAATGGGATTTTTTGTATCTTGCAATATTTGTATGTCATCTCTAATTGCTGTAGATACAGAACGTCATTGCCTTAAAGGAAGTACTGAGACAAGGTTTATTGATGTATCACAGAAATACTGTGGCAAATTAATTCAGTTCCTAGAATTACACTGCAGTCTAGGCGTAGACCAAAGTAGCCATAGAACAACCCTACTTTCTGCCATCACATGCCACAAGTCAGAAGACACTTATCACCCCGTTGAGTTTTTTTAAATTATTGGAAGGAATGACAAAAGCCACTCTTAGAATTTGTCATGAGGACAGGACGTGGGAGATCACAATCTTGTCTTCAGCAGCCACTTGCTACTATAATATCCAGAGTATCCTAGAAAGTGAATGTCATGATCCAATACAGAGAAAGGAGCCTAAGATCTTTAGGCCTATCAGCCTATAGTGCTGTGGTCTTGAAGGAAGCTTCCATCCTCTTCCAAGATACTGTGACTGGTTTGCTCTTAAGAATACGATCAAGATTTGGACAACTATTTACTTGAAAGTTTTAATAAATCAAGTATGTACATACTCTGTCCCGCTGATCAGTTCCCATGCCCCCTCACACTACAGACACATAAAGGGAAATAATTTTCCTGATCACCCAAGTGGACCTGCAGAAGCTCTGAAATATGTAGTTGAAAAAATATAAGCATGTTACCTACGTATCTACGTGTACAGCAATCAAGCTTCATTCAGTCTTTGCCATCAAAACTCCAACAAACTCCATTACTCACCTCAGGAGCTAACCTTTGTACTGTAAAGATCACATCTATACCTTTACCAATTAGTCACTTTTAGAGTAGCTGGTCACTGTATAATTTGAGTATCAGATATAAATTTGGCTATGAACTCTTATGGCTTTAGAATAAGAATTTGGCCAGGGCTGCAAGGAACAGATCATATTGATTTTCTTACCTTGAAAGCATTCCCCAAACCATAATCAAGTGAGATAATGACATCTACGTTCCTCTCTGGCTTAAAAAGTGCTGCACCACTGGTGTTAATGAAATAGCCAACATCTATCAGGCAAAGATATTTCTGCAGTGGCGTCAGACTGTTAGGGAACGAGTCCAGCACAGTGTCTGAAAAACATTATGAATATAGTTAGCAATGCAATGATCAAAAGAGCTGTGATACACAGTAAAGGCAGCCCTTTGTCATTGAGACCAAGCTCACCTCCCTCCATAATGCAACCCCACAAACGTGGCCTCACAAAGGCAGGCTGTGAGGCAGCCAGGCAGAGGACAGGTGAGACACAGACTCCACTGGCCTCACAGCTGCTCTGGGGATTGTTTTTTCACAGAATACAGGCTTTAGCTGATTTTTTTTCCCCTGCTAAGAACTGGGAAAAAATGCAAACAACAACAACAATTTCACAGTGTAACAACAAATCTAACAAATGCAGTACATTGCTGCTCTTTTGCATTGCTCCTTTTCAATTTCTGCATTTTCTGGTTTAGACTTTTCTCTCGAGGTGAAAACTCTGACTTCAGCTTGCTTTCAATGTCTGCTCATATAAATTATGTTAGCCATGTTGAAAAAAATATCAGATTGTGCATACAGCATTTTCTCCCAATAGCTTAAAGTATTCAAGTATTGCCTCAATTAATTAAATTTCACACACACTCTAAAAGCAGCAAAAAGTAGATTATAGAAATTGACATATCCAATAAATAGCCAATATCTGATAGCTAGATTCTCTTTTCTCTGTCCAAAACCCACCAGCCACCCTGTAGACAGCAAGCCCACTACCATTTCTAGTCTCATGGAACAAGAAACCTTTTGCTGTGATATAAATATCAAAATAGTGTTTTAAGAGACTCCTTCTAGTTGACAAAAGGAGGTAGCAAAGCCTACAGCAGACCCCTCATTCCTTGAAACATCTGTGCTTAGGCATTTTTAAAAAATGTTGATTGCAGAAATACTGCACATCTTTCTGCCTCCTTGGCCTCATTCTGTAGTGTTGATTTAAACTGTGCAGAATAATTCCAGCTCATTCCATAGCCTGGAACATTTGACAGCATCTTGAAGTAATAACTCATATTTTTTTTCATTCCCTTAGTGTCAGATCTTTACAAAATTATTTGCTTCTTTTAGCATTTATGGATGATGGGATTCTGGTGCACTGAGAGTTCTTTGCTTGCCTCCTCAAAGAAGAAACAGAATGTACTTTTTACTTCTATTTGGCCTGGTGAATATTTTAAGTTGAAATTTCACTACACCCAATATCTTATCATGAACACAAAACTGTGCAGCATTTATTCATGGCTTCATAAATGAATTAAAGATCAGACTTTTCCTAGGGAGAGTCTCTACTTCTATTTTAAAACTCTACTTCCTTCAAAAAGGGACTTTGAAGAAGTGCGTCCTCAGAAATTCCCTCAGAAGCACAAACTACCATAAATGTATTACTATGATTGCCTGCTATGAGTTCTCAAATTTATCACCACCAAAACTAAGCTTTGCACTTGCCATTTAATGAATCTTTTTAATGTTTTGGTTAATCTGAGCTCCGGGGAAGTATTTAAGACAGAACTGTATTCCTGAGACTTCACCTACCATTAGACTATCATTTCTAAAAAGCATTTAGTACTCTGCAGGCCCTAAAAGCTCCACACCTCTTGCCACTTGTCAGGCAACTTCAGGGAGCAATGGCAGCCAGGCATAAAAGGTGTAGTAACTTACATGGAACAGAGGAGACAAAACACAAACTGCAAAAGGGAAGGACTCAGAGGAGCACACATTTCGTTGCTAAAATCAGATTACTAATGTAAGACCCTCCCACACTGCTACCTGCTGAAGGCATAAATGAAAACTGGATTACAGGAAGATTTATGGTGCTCAAAGGCTCAGTTCCATTATCTGCATATCATTTCATAGACTTTCATGGTTTTTGAGGTAAAACAACCATGACTTCACTTGTTTGTTCACCTGCAGAGCACAGGCCATAGAAAATTAATGTTTAATTTATACATCAAATCTACACACTTTTTTTTTTTTTTTAATATAAATCTAAATCTATGTGGCTCTAACTTTCTATGGTTGGTTTTTATTATTTCTGCTTCTGAAGGGTTAAGGAGAGGTGACTAAATCATCTAATACTATACACATAGCAACCATGCTTTTGCAGCCAATCTTCTCCTTCATCTGACCAACACAATAACCTGCTGCCTTATGTTTCCAGTGTTACCTCTGCTTATTGACCTCAAAAAGAATTCACATTTCTCCGAATCTTCTGACTACTATACCTATGCAGAATGACACACTTCCTGTAGAAAAGCATGCTGTGACTCGTCAAATCTCGTCAAAAAGTGAAAGAGCATCTCATGGGCTAATTCATTTTAACTTGTCACTCTGAGGAAACACACACAGTGAAATAGTTCCATCTCAGCAGATTTCCAAACCCCGAGCAAATATCTCTAAAAGTGAGATTTCCAAAGTCTAAGAAAAAACAATCTGAGATGTTACCTGCACACTGCAGCTAAATCTTTGTTGCAGTTACCTTTCCATTCAATAAATTTTCGCTGGTGGACATAATCCTTATGAAATTCTAAGCCTCTCAGGAAGTTATGAGACTTTCCCAGTAGTGGCCGCTTCGTTATAATGTCCTGAAACATTTCATACAACTTCCCCGACAAACAAGATGGAGGCTCAATGATAGTGGTATCCTCCTCAGGAGAATGTTTCTCTGAAATAAAAAAGGAATCATGAGAAAAAAATAGGTGTAATCTGTTCTCCTAGACATTTCTGCTGGCTAGCTGTTCTTCCCTCCACATTTCCTGCAATCTGTTGAAAAATGTATGTACACGATCATTTGAACACAGAGATATTTGGTTTTGTTTAAAACAAGCACGCCTTTTGCCTTTTACGTACTTTCTTTGTACTTCTGTCTAAAAGCAAGAGCCACCCTTCTCATTTGTAGTCACAGGAGTCATTTAACAGATCATGAATAAATTCTAAATGAAAAACATTTGCAACTAGCATAAAATGTGTCTCTGGGAATTAAAAATAAAATAACTGTAAGAGGAAAACATCACAAGGTGATCATTCTGATACAGGTGAAAATCATACTGGAAGGTCTAGAATGATGCAATACAACACATAACAGTTTAGGGAAAACATGTGAGAGATTATTCACAAACAGCTGCAATGGTGTTTTTTCCTTACTCACCTCCTTAACAGACGGCACAGTCTGGTAAAAAATGAATACTGATTTTGAAACCCTTACCTATATCTACCATATCTTTGGCCCATCGCTCCCAGAATTCATTTGAATTTGAGGACCAGTACAAGCCATCCAGCAAATTCCTGGTGAAGATGTTTGTCCAAAGACCTGCAAGTCAAATCACATGGGAAAAATACTGAACCAACACGTTAACTGCTGACTATTTCAACTAATTGTTTTTTTTTTAATTATAAGTATCAATGCTATGGATTGTTGGCCTGGTATGAGTATGTATGAATTGACCTTGTTATGTCATAGTTTAAGTAGAAGAGTTGAAGCTTAATAATGAAAACAATTCAGTGTTTTTCCTCAAGGGCTAATTACTCTCAGACCATTCACCACGCAGTGCAAAGTAACAAAATAAGAGGTATCACGTTAGGTCACCTTCTAAATAGCAGATCCGAGATTCTGGCAGCTTTTTCACTCGCCTTCCCATGAAGAACTCACTGTCAAAGTATTCTGAACGAATGGAGGCTCCGTACTTTGGTATGGCCACTTCATAAGGAGAAAACTCAGCCCACTCTACAAAAGAATTGGCATATGCTATGTTTAATGTCCTACAGAATAAGGAAATGAAGCCTACCCCTTGGATACAGCTATCTAAGGTTTCATGAACTTTGCTGGTCGTGGCAGCTCAGTGCTATCACTAGTTTGTACTGCAAACTACACTGTCTAGTTCCATAAGAACTGAGAGTATTCACTCACTAGCTTTTTCCACCTCAGAAAGAGTCTAACATTAGTATTAAAAATGTAGACTCATACTGCTATATAAAGATTCTGGGAACCCACCTATCTCTCTAACTCAAGATCATCAAACAATAAACAACTGTGATACAACCCTCAAGGAATGACCAGTATGAAAAATCTATTAAACCAAACATGTCAGTCTACATGATACAACAGAGAAGCTTGAAGACACATCAGCTCAGAATTAGAAAGCATCACAGTGTGGACATGGCCATGCAGTTTCCTGATTCAAGCTGCCCTGCGTAGGTATTACTGTGGAACAGCAGCCACAAACCTAAGTATTAAATGTTTGGGTTTTTTTAGTATCTGATTACTTCAATATTTCTTGCTGAATATAGTCTACAGGGTGTCATATCACACCCATATAGCAATCATACTCCACTCTACAGATTGTCTTTTAGATAATTGACAGTTATACTACATAGAATCTCTACAAACAAAGGAACAATCACAGCCATTTCATAGATGTGGAACTGAAGCAAAAAAAAAATCATATGATTTGCTTTCACTCACTCACTCACTCACTCACTCACTCACTCACTCACAGTGTCTTTGGCAAAACTAGAACTTCATCCCACAACTTCAGAAATGCCTTTTTTGTGCCAGAGAATGTTTTTCAGCAGATCTGCCTTTTCTAATCAACACCCAGCAGTTTGCAAGAAAGACAAATACTTCATTAAAAGATGAATCTTGAGTCAGGGCAAGCAACAGAGGCAATCCTTCCGTATTCCCCTGAGATATACACATTGCCACCCTATAAATTCTCTTTACTTCCTACTAAGAGTCAGAAGAAACACTTGGAATACTTACCTCTAAATTTGAAAGTACTGAACTTTTCCTCTTTCACATTGAGGACTGCGTAGAAAGGCAACGGGTTTTGCCCATACTCCAATGCCCTGCGCTGGTCTGTGAGTTTGTACTTCCTCGGCTAATCAAAGGGATAAAAAAAAAATCACAGTGAACATAAGCTAAAACCACTGACACAATCTACATGAGCACTGATAGACAACAGATATTTTATTACTCAGAGGAGTCTGTGAGTCACATCTCCTTTAAAAAACTGCTTCTTTCTCGTTCTGAACTTTCCTTCATGGTTGTCTTTTGGATATCTACTAACCTGTACATTAATATCTAAGTACGCTGACTGTCTCTATCCCACAGATCTTTACAAAGTCTCAGACTAGTGATCACAAGAGGCAGTTTATTCTAATTCTGAAGTGTCCCAAAAGAAACAGACATTAAAAGATATCAAGACAGACAACCAAAAGACATTTGGTTTTTCAAGGGTAAATTGTTCAGTTCTTTCTGAATATTTGCCCACTTAAATTATTATCTGTTGGGCACCTTGGTTCAGAGGCATTGACAAACCATCAGCTACTCCAGAAAGTCCTGGCTAGAGAATCCTTTGCCATTATTTACAAGTCATACAGGGATGCACCAGTCACTCTGGATTTGTTCCACACGTTGTAACATGCAATCAAAGTGGGAGATGCTAAAGCAAATGAGTGGATATTTCCTAAATGCGTGGCAGGACCACATACCTGGTGGTGTGGTACATACCCGTCCATGTAAGAACATTTCCTGAACAAGTGACCACAGCGTTGTAAAAGATGAGACGTGTCCTGCTTTTGCCCTTTCAGCAAGTTCCTTGTGATAATACTTCAGATGCTCCATAGACATAAGGTTTAGCTTGCATTTTGTCACCTGTGCTTTTACTGCTCTGAGTGGCCCCTCCAGACTCTTTTGTGACCAATCTGCGTGTTCATACAGGTCTGCTAGGGTCCTACAGAACAAAAATGTGAGAAAATCATCTATTTCTTAGTAAGAAATACTGTATTTACCCTTGCGCTCTCATCAAAGCAGAAGTTATGTTACAGAGCCGATGGTAATAGGTTTACCAGGGAATTATGTTCACTTATTAACAGTGTGAGACTTTGAAAGAAATGCGCATCTCTCACTGTGTAGAAATGCGGCGTCACAGACATTCCAAGAGTAAATCACATCTTCTCTTACTCACCATGTTGAGCCAGAAGCCCCAGTGAGATAGGTAACACAGTCCAACAGATTTAGCTTCTGAAGAGCTAAGAGATGGCCAAACATAGCTGACATTGCTCTGAGGCCTCCGCCTGTTGCCATAACAGCTATTACTGGGACCTGCTCAAAACATAAATATCATCTTCAAAAACTTACTCACTTGCCTACTTGGAAAAGTCTAATTACAGCTCTTATAATTTCCTCCTCAGACTTCATTGGAGGACATTGAAATTAAATCAGTGCTTAGACAGCATTTACCAGTACCTTATTTTAATTAATCTCCAGATACTCAGAGAGTTCCCACAATCTCCAAGCTTGGATGAGATGCAGTGATTCTAAATCTCCTTGCTCCCTTTGCTCTTTATTGCAGTTATTTACAACAGATAACAATACAACTATAAATAATAAAACTGCAGCAAATGTAATTAAGAATGGATTCAAGGAAGTCATGAATAGGATTTAGAAAAAGAAATATATTAATTAAAAGAATGATTCTTTGGACAGCATCCATTCAACAAATAAAACTACATCAAGAATATAAATGTTCACTTTAAATTTCACCCTGGATCTTGGCAACAAAATGTACTTCAGCTGGAATTTGTTAGAAAGGGCTCTTTCTCCATCCTGAAGAATTTCCACTTTTTGTGAAAAGTGTTTGGAAAATGAAAAAAATATGTAATCCTAAAGAAGGAACATCACAATGATTTCATAAATTTCCACTTGAAGTCAATTTCAAATACTCCTGTTTTCCTATTTATTTTGGGTTTGCCTGGTTGTCTGTCATCTCACAAAATGTATCAATGTCTCATTTTGCGTCAACACACTGCACCACATTGTTGGAAACTCTGGCCTTGAAGAAAGATATATTATAACTTTGGGAATTTGACCTATTGAAGAATATGAAAGCCTGAATAGCTAAGTTGAAATTTTAGATGAGTATGGGGTATGCCACTCTGAGAACTTGAGTAATGTTGCCATTCAAATCAATGGGTTTGTCATCAACATGCAAAAACTACTAGAAGGTTTGTGGGGAGTTGCATCAATCCTAATTCAATAGGCCCACACCCTATGCTTGGATTCCAGCTCACAGACCTCATGTTCATGTAGATCTCTTTCCAGATGAAAAACCCTTTTCAGGGCACTGGCAACCACTCTCTTCCTTTTTTGCAAGAATTCCTGCTCTTCTCGGCACAGATCGTATCCTAAGCGCACATCAAGTTTTTCTGTGCTGCAACACAAATAAATCCAGAGGCATTGGATTAGGATTGAAAATGCATATGAGTCTATTTTCAGCAACTGTAGACTATTAAACACCATAAAGGATCCACTGTTGATACACTGTTCAGATTTACAGGCAGAAACGCAGATTCCAGTGGCAAAGAAATCAACTGTTTTGCTTCTACATGGTCTCATTATTTTCTGATCTGATGGTTCAGTCTAAGTTTTACTACTAGCTTAGGACAGCAAATAAGAAAGAGAAAGACTTCTACGTATCCTTCAGTAGCAATGTTGGCTTAATTCTTTCTATGTTTCCTTCATAGATCTAAGCAAAGGTTCATCTGAACCTAACAAGTTCTTTCAAAGGGATTTTACCATGGATCTCCATGGAAATGGTATGATGAAAGACGTTTTCAAACAATTTTGTTTACATTTGTTGTCTGTCTCATTATTTTACTGTTTAATGTTTCATCTTCCCTAAATGATGCTTATTTTTATTCATATCACTGGTTCCACAAATATATTTTCTCAGGAATACTTATGCAGCTTGAGTAATGTACAGAATCTGGATGTTTTGCTCAAGTCAAATTTCCTTCTCCCTCTGCCTTTTCCTGCTTATCCCTTTGGAAGAAGTCTCCAATCTCAGTCTTTGGTTCTTTGAAGCAAAAGACATCTGATTAAGTTCCTTTAAAATTCTCTCTTTTTTTTTTTTTTTTTTTTTTTTTTTTTCCAGGTAGGGGGAGGAGGCATCTTAGCATGACTCTTGCCCCAGAGGCATCTAACTTTGCTCTGTTGTGGTGACTGTTTTATGATGACTTAACTGTTGACATATTTTGCCCCAAGTCTTTTGCATTCCTTGTATCTAAATGAAGGATTCTCTGCTCCAGAACACACACTGTTCAAAGAGCAATAAAACTTTCAAAGAAAAAAATAGTCTCCTTACCAGTCATTCAATTGGAGGTACAACTGCAGTGGCACATTCTGTAAAAAAAGAAATGTGAGCAGGAATGAAAATGATTGTGTGAAGAGAAAGTTTAGAAATCTAGATTTTCAGTGATTCCTTGAATGCCTCAGCACTACCACCATCTTGCACATAGTTTTTTTGGAAAAATTTGTCAGGAAAGGGATGGTAAGCAAAAAAACACCGAACATTTTCTAAAGAGGCAGAAGCACTGAAGGGGCTACTTGAACAGGCTGTGAACAGGACTCCCACCTCACTCCATGAACCAGCTTAATCCAGCAGCAGTATCACACACAGCTACCCTCTCATTCCTGAGTATGAAGAACAGTATCCAGCTACAGATAGTGTTACTAAGAGGAAATGCAAGTCACCATATGCTTTCAAAAAGCTAAGGAGGTACAAGAATCACCTGCTGTGGAACAGATGTTCATTCTCCCTTTTCTATAGGAGCAATGCTGCCAAGAAATTTTCCTCCTGCTTTTGCCTCTCATTTGCTGCAGTGTGTGAGAAAAGATGTCTAGCTATTGTTTAGAGATTCACCAGTCCATACAGCTGTGTTACTTCTGCTTTTAAAGCAATTTAGAGTTGTACTTGACCACCACTTATGATCAATATTGTACCCATAGAGGAATGTGACAGAATTGTTCTTTGAAAGTAAGAGTCAAGTTATCTTACTTTTTCCACCTAAAGCTTAGGTATATAGACTGAGCTAGCCACCCGGATTTCATACAGACAGTAGAGACAGACTGGATCATCTCAAACTCAAACTCTTGCGGCTGAACGTTCTCCTTTTACTGTGTAATGGTACTAGAGGTTGGTCTTTAAATTTAGACATATGCAACTAAAACTAGTCAGGGTGAAACCCCAATTATTGATTTTACTGACAGAAAATTAATACTTCTGAGAAAACCAACCCTTTCTCATAGAAAACTTGTATTCACCCAGCCCAAAGGAATTCTTTTTCAAATGGCATCGTGTTAAATACTGAGTGTTACTTTACCCTTCTCTCCAAAAGGTCTCATAAATGGTGAGGCACTTACATGTCTTACAGGGAGGGTTACTTTCACTTTATGCCCAACAGGGAGAAATTTCAGTGGTACTGTTAAGGCGTCACTTAAATTGTTTGTGTCATCTTCCTTATCAGAAATTTTCTGCAAAAAACAAAAAAAGGGTGTATTTTATGTACAAAATGAAAACAGTCCAGTTCCCCATTGTTTTGATGACAGTGAAAATAAGCAGGTAGTATGAGAATCAGTATGGTCCAGTACATGTTACCTGTAGCCTGGCTTTTAGAACTGGCTCCCAAGCCTTCACACAATGGAAGTAGAAGGTATTTGTGTCTTCTGTAGCTTTCTGTGTTCCTTCATGAGATGCAGGCACCGTAAGCACAAGATTCTTACCCTCTAGTGAAAACAGATTTGTTTAGAGAATGTTAGAGCTGTCCAGGCAAAACAGCTACCAAAGTTGGCATTTATTTCTTGTGGTAAATCCTCTGTAAATTCACACACTGGCAAGTCTCCCTGGCATGAGAATTGGTATTCCTGCATTTACCCCATAGCTTGAAGTGCTCCCAGTGTCAGCACTCTCTCAGATTTCCACCAGCAAAATTTGCTGTGTCCAAACTTGATAGTTTCAAGGGAGAGACACCAGAGATGCAGAGTTAAACTAGAGCAAGTTCAGGAACTTTCACTGTACTAAATTTTATTGCCTTTAGGAGGTCATTAGTTGTCTCTGTATCCTGAAGTGCCTCTACCTGGACCTGAATGCTTATGATCTGGTTGCATCCTCACTTCAGAGAAATCTGCATACCTCGCAAATATTTCCTGCTTTCACTATGGTCCACTTGTACTTCCAAACACCAAACTTCACGGGACTGTAAAAGACAAAAGTGGAAATGTGTGAAAATAGTAAATGCTACGACTGCAGCAAAAAATGAGCCATCATGTAAGCAGTCATTAGTTATAATACAGAATCAAGCTAAACTGGGCTCAGTGCTAGAAGCAATCTAGCAGCAGAAGATTAAATTCATTATCCCAGGACAGTAGACCAATTGTAATGCTTTACAACTAGCTTGTCCATACAATGGTGCATTGCCAGAGGTGATTATACCTGCTCAAGTTATCCCCAAATCAAGAATCTTTGAACTACACTCTGCTGTCCAAACACAGCTACATACATATCTGGTAATTACTTAGAATAGGTGGAAGGAAACCACTTGATGATGAATTTCTGTGTATTGTGGTCATGATTAGTCTACAAGGCATCTTCTTGCTAGTCCAGATGTAGGGAGATCATGGATTTATTCCATCCTACTCTCCACCTGAGTCATTCCAGTTCACCTTTAATAACTCATGCCAGGACAGTTTTCCAACAACACATGCCAATCATTACAGCTCTCATACCTCACACAGAAAATGAGGGGCAAAGAACAGAATAGGTGTTATTTTACCACAGGTGTATTAAAGGCTAGCATCTGGAAATCACATGTAGGTTTGGAGTTGTTGGGATGAGGGACTTTGTACACTTTAGCTGCTTGGCCAGCCTGAGGAGATAGGTAATGGACCACATGCTGACATATCACAAGAGGACTCTGTTTCAACAACTTAAATAGCTCTTTATTAAAAAGCGTGTGTCCCAAAAAGCTGTTAGATTAGATAATCTCTGAGTTATTGGAGTCTTCTGTAGACTCATAGCTGTCAGAACCTTTGGTTTTCCTGCCAAATGCCATATTGCATTATCTGAAACACAATATTTCACTTTGCCAACAAAAATGTGATTCTGTAACATTAGCAAACTGTGACTGGTCAAAATACTGATACTTGAGGACTTCAAGAAACAGTTTCTATTCCATGAGGAGGGAAACATAACAAATGGGAACTGTCCCATATTTGTAATATATAATGTAGACCATGCTCTATTCAATTATGTTTTCCCTGCAAAATATCAGATGGCTGAGGGAAAAGGAGAGAAAGGGAAAAGATTAAGAGGAGATAGAGGAAAAGTAACGCCAAGCTAAACTCAAACATGAATCTTACCACTAGGACATCGTTGGTAATGACATACTCTGGAGGGCCAGGACTAAAAAGAAGCAAAAAGGAAACAATTTGTGAGAATCCAGTATTTTTAATAGCAGTTGCATTACTTCCTGTGTAAAACTGAATATAGTTACATTAGTGCCATCCTTCACTTTCTGAAAGGTGCACTATGTGACCATCTGCTAAACACATGAGCCAAAATGCAGTACCTAACAGAAGAGCCCATAAAAATATCAGTTCTTAAAACTATAAGAAAAAAGGTGTAGTCGTCTATTTGGAATCACGTACTGCCCTTACCGAATGGCCACATGGCTTGGGGAAAAGCAAAGATGACTAATAATGTACTCTCCAAATACTTTTTAGGAAAGACATTTTTGACTGATCTAGACAATAATTTACAACTGGTCCCAGAGAAAGGCAAATTAGAATTGGCTCCCATTGGGCTATATGTACGACTGGAAAAACACAAAGGTAAGTAACAAAAACTTTGTCCCTGACATCTCACCTTGCAAGACCCAGATCTGTCACTGAATGGTTGGAGTTACTCATGGAATTAAATAACTATAGAGTCTACTAACAGAACCTCTCATTACAGCTAATATTCCAATGGCACCAAGTTGCACACATTCCTAAGTGCTTTCATAGATCTGAAAGGACCACTGAAGTTATGCAGTACGTGATCTTTGACCATCCACAAAATCAAGGATATTTCACAAAGCAGCACATCCAGCTCTCTAACTTCTGCAGAATGCATTTATCTTCAAATAACTTGGTTTCACTTCCAAAAATGGAGAATCCCCTACACCTCTAGTAACTTGAGCTGTGAAAAATCTTCTGTTTATTTCTAGTCTGCATTTGCTCAGTCCAACTTCTAAGAACTGCTTCTTACTCTGAACTTTAATCTGGTTGAGACTGACTCCACACGTGCAGGAGATGCTTACACTAGCTCTTAAGGTGTCTCTCATAAAAGTATAGATTTTCTGAGTGTTTTCCAACTCACAGCTGCCTGTTCTAATCATGCATTTAGTCAGTTTTAAATGGACTATATTACTTCCAAAAGCATTTAAAAGAGAGAGAAGTTTATCTTACTGAATTTGTTCTCCTACAATGTTGATTATCACTTTGAAGAGGGGGGGATTGTAATTGTATTATCTGCAGATTGCATGTTTTTGTAGCTTAACTAAGCTATCACCTAATGATCTATCTAATGCTGTCTACACCACTCCACGTGCATTTTGTTTTCTGGTCTTTTAGAAACATCATGGTGTTCATGGCATTATTGAATTAGTGATAATAGCTGTTACAGTGTAATGTCTTGTATGCATCTCATGTGCAAGTTACTGAATCCTGCCAATGTTACTGCATTACAATAATCAGGATATAAGATAAGATTTGTATACAATACACTAAAAGACAGAATTTGCTGGGGAAGTTAAGGCAAAACAAACAAACAAAAAAATCAGAACAGTAACTCACTGCTGGGAAGAAGAGCTGCAAGAATTTCTGCTTTCTTATTACACTGCCTGGCAGATGTATGCCTTTTAGCTTTGTAATTTTACTCACATTTTTTCCATCCAGAATTCCACTTCCAAACTTTCCCATTTCTTAATGCACCTCTCTTTCTAAAAATGAAAGAGTAAAATAAATACAGATTATTGGAGACTGCAAGAGTTTACTGGTAGAGACACCCAAAATCATAGAAGAATTTTGGTGGGAAGGGTCTTTAAAGCCATCCAGTCCCAATGCCATGCTCAGGACCCCCATCAAACCTGGCCTTCAGAACGCCTCCAGAGATGAGCCGTTCACAAGAAACTTGAAAAGCATTTCAGTATCATGTCTGATGTCTCTTCTGTTAACATTACCAAATAATCTGTATGTCACTTCTTTCCAAAGCTGAGATTGCAGGAAATGCATGTAAGATTAATACTCTACCACTGTGGGATATGGAGAACTATACAATTTACAAAGACCTAGAGTGGAAAAGCTTGGATAAAACAGAAATAAAATGAATTTCTGCGAAGATGGTCTGCCCAGCATAAAAGCGTTGACAATAACAAATGTGACAAATTCTGCTGTCATTTCCATTTAAATTACATTCATGTTGAATCCAGCAGAGATGAAGGGGAGAAGAACACTCCCAGCCAAGGAGGTTATTGAATCATTAACATTTCCCAGTGATTCAGTGAGTGGCTGAGAAGTGCATTCCACCAGCCTGCAGAGTCATGGTGGGGAATCCCTGTTAAGAGCTCTCAGCATTCAGGAAGTAGCTGAAGCTCTGGTATGGACTGTCTCTTTACTACTGGAAGTGTACAGCAGTACCTCAGCCATAACTCACAGAAGCCCAGGAACTGTCACAGAACTATCCCAGTTTTGTTCACTGGACAACTCTCTTCCTTATTAAAAAATACTAGTAGGACAGGCATCCCTTACCTATTGGCTATGAAAACCTCAATAAACAGTAGAAATCCAACATGAACATTAACAGGAAAAGCCTGAAAGAATCATTAATTCAAGTGGTTAGTTGATTATCTTCAAGTTTTTAATAAGAAGTCATCAAGGGGAAATGTTCTCTAAGCATAGGAAACGTGAAATAAAGCCAAAAATGAAGAAAGTTGTTTGGGGGATTATAAATGATGAAAATGACTGTATTTACAGATGCTAGCTATTAACATTTATTTCGCCTGCACAGAGATGGTTGCACAGTATAGAACACGCTTCATTTTCTGAATCTGTGAAAACAGATTAATAAAGTCACAAGAATCTACCACAATGATAACTGACTTGATGAGATATTGATGATGCAGACCCAAATTCTATCTAACACAGAAGCCAACATGGAAAGTAAATAACTCCATGTATTGTCAGACCTTACCTCTGATTTCAAAGCAAACTTCTCACGGACTCTCTCTCCAGGTCTGACTCTAGCAATATTAAAAAGAACTGTGAACTGCATGTCATCTTTGGTGAGTGGATCTTCGTCACACACCGCCAATTCTAAAATGTTCTGGTAGTAGAAGAAAATAAATACGAACTCTTACTGAACTGCTGTTTTCAGGAAAAAATATAAATAAAATGATTACAGACTTTTGTAGCTGATTGACTAGCACAGTAGTATGAATAATGGAACCTGTGCTTTCAGGAGTCTGGTAATGTGGAACTGAATCATTAAAATCCAGCCCTGGGAAATATATCATGGAGTAGAAGACAACAGCCATCAGCAATCTCACTATTCCAAGACAGAGAAGATGTCTGGTGCTTTGCACCACTTCTGATAACCTACCCAAAGAATGCACTTATTAAGTTTGTTCATCCTCAAAGTTCTATTAACTACGCAGCAACTCCTCCATCCTTCCCTTAAAACCAGCAGATGAAATACTCGTTGTACTCTAACCCTTCAAAATAGCCCAGAGATGAGACATGCTACAGCAATACTTATATCCCTCAGGAGACAACATAGGGAATCCAGACTAGCTCAGATATAGGAATTTAAATCACAGATGTCTACAACTTGTTGAGGGGAATGCTACTCTGTGTATCTGCTGTTTTGTGCTAACAAATCAGGTGGAAATTCCATCTCATAAGCGATGTCTTAAGTTATTTAGCACATTTGATCAACGAGGAGTCAATTGTGGACTCCCAGCAATTCAAAATTGTAAAATTTCCTTTTTTTTTTTAAATACCTCAACTTCTCTCTGGATCCTAAAGTAGAAAGTCTCATTCCAGACAGGGTTGTCCGAATTCTTGATAGTTTTGGTCTGAAGCTTTTCATTTGAAGCAGATGGCAGCCACAAGCGCACATAGCAGTCTGATGCAGTCACTGCAGCAGAAAAATAAAATAAAATCCAGACGCCAATATTATAGATGGGCAAGGCCATGATTCTGGGGAATAATAAATACTTAAAAAAAAAATAAAAAAGTAATAAATAAAGAGATCACTGGTTGGAAGCAACCAAGGATCTTGGTATACAAACTGATTTCTGGGTAGCTACAAATGGCAAATACCACATGCACGCATGCACACACAAGATACACTGAGAGCAGTGTTTCCCATGTGAAGAGAAAGAAGTAGAAAAGAGCCCACTGACCATTCATCAGGCATATTCCCTACCATTCCAGTCAATTGTGTTTAAAAGAAGTTTAACTGAAACTAATGCTAGTTCCAAAAAGGACAATTAGGATGGTTACAGGAAAGGAAAACACATATTATAGACAAGATGACATGAGACTGGCTTGCTCAGTTTCATAATGCAAACACAGGGGGACATGACTGCTGTCTAGAAGGGTTAGCTACTGGGGAACATCTGTTGCAGTTACAGGCCACTGTGGGCTGAAAAACAGGTTGAAAATCTTCTCAATTCCAGCCTAAACCCATTTTTTATGGTTAGTGTTGTCAGTGTCTGGAGCAGCTGTCCTTTGGGAAAAGCAAGGTCGGAAAGCACATTTACTTTGTGGAGCTTGACAGCGGTGTGAAAAGAAATCTCCAAGTTGATGTCTTTCAGAGCTGGAGTCTGGACTTGACTGAAGACGTCTACTGCAGCCCGAGAGGCCTAAATACTTCAGACTGGTATCAAGCAGTGAATAACAATGCCCCGCAAGGTTTTGGCAGGAAAGTGGAACTGTCCCTTCAATAGAGTAGACAGAACAGGTCATTGAGACTCAAATACAGGCCTTGTCACTATGGCCATTCTGGTGTCCACCTCTGGACATAATACCTGAAGTACAGTGAGAGTATAAGAAAAGGCAGCTTGAGGTCTTTTTGCTGGCTGAGAAGCACATAGAAGCCTGCAAAAAATGACAGCTGAATGGCTGATCCATCAGACACCCTGAGAATGAGCCATAGGAGGCTGTGAGAGTGAGATAAGAAGTTAAAGAAAGTGGAATAAAAAAGTAGACAGAAAAGTCTGTTTTGCCTGCACATTCAGAATGTGGTTAGGGCAGGGTCTACACAGGTTCTCCTTAGTCAAAAACTTAGGAACATTATTTAACATGAAACACCCCAGATGACCCTCTTTAGAAGGTCTGAAATTCCCTAATTGACTTTTGACTGTAAGAAAATGTATAGGCTGCAGTTCCCTCACATGGTCTACTTTCCCTTACTGGTTCAGAAAGTTCAGCTGGGAGTCTTAGATTTTACAGTTTCTCTGAAATGCCAATAGATCTGGCCTCTAAACTAATGATACCTCAGGCATTTGATCTAATTACAGCCCTGATGTCAGTATTTCTACTGCTCTGCTTTATGCGTATATGTTATTTGTATACCTTCAGAACTTAGGAACATTGCTCACTGTGTAAACTCTAGAGGTGACTAAAAACACAAGCAAACCACAACTCACACAGGTCTCTTGACTTGATGTTCCTGGCTTGTATGATTCTTACAGAAAGCATGTAGATGGGACAAATCTTCATCTGCAGAGAAAACAAATGCAATGAGTTTTGTCAGCTCATCCTACAGAAATCATACGTATTTTGAACCGTACAGAGGACTGTCTGTCCCTGCTGTTTTGCCTGTTTGAAGTGAGGAGGTCACCTTTCAGTGGAAGTACGCCATGCTAAGATGAAAGCACGATTACCCACTATTTGATGATTATCTGCAGACTATTTGCTGAGTAGCTTGAATAAATGAAAACAGAGAAAGAAAGAAGACAACAGCTCATATAACGCTATAGGAAGCTCCTGTAGTCACCCAAAAATGTCCCTTTACAAACAATCTGGTATAAACATGGTTGTGGTGATGACTGTTCTGCCAACCCGCAGAGGAACTTATGCCACAGCTGGGTCAAAACTGGGCCTTTGGAAGGCAACACTAGGAACTCGCAGCTGCCTGCCTGGGCCTGGGCTCAGTGCTGATACTGGCTCTAGATATGGCAGTTGCCAACCATATTTAAAAGCTTCCAATCTCATATCCCAAGTAGGACTAGATTTTCATTATGTTTATAAGTAGGCCAAGTTCAGCAATAGGCATCTAGTGGACTGCATTACAGGCTCTAAGTGGACTATATGCCCAGCAGAAGCCCTTCAGATGAAGGAAAAATAGTGCCCTGATTTACAGGTGTAATATCACAGAATCCTACATCATTAGGTATCTTGAATTCATCTAATGGAAATGTGACCAGTCCTCTTTCAGATATGAGATTTATTCCTATCAGAAACAAGATAGCAGTGCAATATTTATTTCAAGTTACTTGTTCCAAACTCTCATGAGTCAAGCTTCCCAGCCTAAGCTACTCAAAAAATACTCAGTGCTTTCGAAAAATGTTTCAGTAAGCCTGAATGAACACACATATGCAGATGCAATAAACTTAATTAAAGGAAAATATTTCCGTTTTTTCTTGCTCTCCGAATTGGAACATTTACAATTTATTTTCAAGCAAAAATAACAAACAGTCTCTCTCTCTCATTAACAAATTAGAACAGGGACAAATCATGCTAAAAATACTCCATTAGCTTTCATGGTACTTTAAACAACAGACTGATTGAAACAAGACATCTGTTTGTCTAAACCAGAGTATCCCACTACAGTGCAACAATATAAATATATTTTTTTTTAAAGTAGCACCATGATTAATTTTCTTGACACTGAAATGATTAACTTCAGACATACTAGGAGATGAGGAAGGGAGAACTTCTCTAGAAATAGTCATTATACTAAATTTGAAACTCCTTTTAAATGGGGTGGAAAATACTGGACTTTTTTTTTCTTTTAAATCAGAAATGAGAATTGCCTTCATTCAGTTTAATTCAATTTTTTTTAGAGGCAAATAGCATTATATGAAATGGACACAATTTTAACTGTGAATTAGCACACTCAGATAAGGCTTCATATTAAATTTTACAAAGTCTATTTTTTTAAAATTCAGGTTGATATTCAAGAGTCATCTAAACAGAAAAATGCTGTTGGTAAACCAGTGCAAAATCACAAATTACTGTCTCTTGGATCTTAATGGTTGATTGAAACACCTTCTGTATAGAAATGCAAAGCACGTTTGTTTTTGTGGAACAAGAACCATTCCTATTATGTTTTCTTCCAGTTTGAAACTGAAATATTTTGAACCTTACGAGTTTAACACATTATGGACATTTCAAGTTCCAGTGAGGACAATTCTAAACTATTCTTGTAGCCCACTGAAAGAATTAGACTTTAATTTTCCTATGCAAATAGCTGTTAAACATAGAAGTACCAACTGGAACACTCAGCATTCCTAGTGGGTTTCATTAACATGAAATATTGGATTATGTAGCCAATTACAGGGCTGACTGTTTTTAATTAATATGTTAATTCTGTGCTGTTTTGTAATCAACTTCCCCTTGCTCAATGGAAGCCCAAATCATTCTCAGATTTCGCCTTCACTGGAAAAATAGATGCTGGTATATAATTTTCTCTGAACCTTACATGATGAAAATTTCCTAATTTCTTACAAAAAGATTCATCTGCAGCTCATTATCAGCTACTCTTAGTTGTGATAGGTGTCATGCTTTTGCATCTTCTCCCACTACAGCCAGAAAGCTTCATACCTCCTCTCTTCCCCTTTCAGCAGCAAGCACTTCATTTAATGAAAAATCATCTAAGGTGACTAAATTTCTTCAGATTTGGTGCAGCATAGCCCTTGCGTTGTTGCAGGGAAGAGATAAACAGGTTCAGATGGGTAAAGACGGCTGTAACAAATCCTACAGACTGCAAATTCCCATGGAAAGCAAGAAGAACATCCTGCTCCCAAGGAATCTGCAGATTGTGGTAGCCATTGAGAATTGAGCTAATTCTCTTTTTCATCAGAAAAAGGCTGAGCTCATTTCCCTTTATAACAGTCCAGATTAGCCCAGCAGGGGTCTGATTTAGATGGGCCAAAATAACACCCTTGTTCAAAAGCGTTTGTGCTCTAAAACACCTTTTCATTTGCTGTTTTCATAACTTGAAAAGCAAAGTGCAATATTGCTATTAATACGAATTGCTAAGCATGAGTGTTATATCCAGACAGCTCTTCTGGAGTTATTTACTTGCAGTTCTACTGATCTTGTTCCTTACTTCCTTGTGAGAACCAAAGTTTCCTGTATAGGCTAACAGAGACCAACATAATGCTTCTGGAAACATGCAGTGTCAAATGTAGTCTTCATTGAGGCACATCACTCTATTTTTGCCTAGAAATACAACCATCCTTATTTGCTGGAAAATTAATAGTGCCACATTGAGGCCAACAATAGAGTGCAGGACTCAGCTGCCTGTGTACGTCTGCATCCTAGACAACAATATTCCAGACCAACAAAAAGTGGCATGTCCAAACTCCCAAAGAGTATTTAAAAAAAATGCATTGAAAAATCTTCTTTTCATTTGATAGCACTTAGCATTAAATTACATTTCTGTACTCTTAGAGAAAGTTTTGAAGGGACCATTTCAAGTCTAAAATAGAGAAAACCCGAGCAGATAAAACTAGCTACAATTGTGTAAAACCCTAAGCAAACTGAAAATTCACATCTGTTTCCAGCCTTGCAGTGATGATTGTAATAACACATTGGCTGGCCTACTGTCTGGCTTCCAGGGAATAGTCATATGCCTGTCAGCTTCAGGAGGACACATAATTAGCCTTCTCTACTGTTTACAGGCAGTTAGTCACTTCAGGGTTTCATCCCAAAAAGAGAACTTTGAGAATATATGAGCTTCTCAAAGCTCATTAATAATGAAAAGCCTACTGAGACAGTTTTCAGATGGCAATGAAAGAAGCAAAACCTACCAACAGCTCACATCCTTGATTTCACTCCTTATTGCCCCACCATGCTGCTCCCAGAACAAGGCCTCATTCACTAGTAAATTATTCTTCTAGGAGAATAGTTTCTGCAGAACTTGACAACCTGGGAAACTCCTCCCATCACCATTGGTTTGTACATGTTGGAAGTCTGACTGGAATCTCAGTGTTGCATTTCCCCAACTCCAAATCTAAGCAGTTAACAAAGGAGAGTTACCACCATGCGATACCAACAGGTTATATGAAGAGTTTTATAAGAAAAGTTTGTACCCTGTCTTTTGGCATCCTCTGAATAAGTTTTAGAGTTTTCTCTCAGTTTTGTCAGTATTTTTTAGGCGCAAATCATTACTTTTTTTCCATGCATTATTTTTTCTCTCTCCAGTGGCATTCTACAAGCAGTGCAATATCTTATGTAACGGATCTCACACCATATATGATCATTTGGCATATTCTGATCATTTCTTTTATCCTAGATACCGATGGTTTACTTCAACTACAGTTTGGAGGTAGTTTGTTAAATTAAGGGTAAAGCGAAAAACTTAAAAAAAACAACAACCCACAACACTTTTTGACCTTCTCTTGATCAGCCTGATTCCAAAACACTCTCCCACACAGATTCTTTAATACATAACGTGGGCTGAGGGCATTGGAAGTTGAACTTTTAGAAAGAAAATCTAATCTTGTTTATGAATATTTATTGTAATTTCATGTTTTCAGTGATGGATTGTTTCAAGAGTCACAGTAGGTTTGGGATGGACCGTCCTTATACTCTACCAGTCTTCTCTTTACCTGTATGGGTGATTGCCTCAGGGATTTGTACTGTTTCTGAGTATATTATAGAAAACAATATTCCATGGTTCAAAAAAACTAGAGTGATAACTCTTGTCTGAGCAGAAAATACACCCTAATGAAAACCAAGAGTTTTCTCAGAAAGCTGCAAATTAATACTGTCCTCTACTTCTGTACAAATTCTGTATTTTTAAATAGTAAAAAATTAACTTGGAGATTTTCAGTAGGCCTTTCTAGATAGTATGAAGTATCCATGCTTTCCAGACAACTTGCTTTTATAATCTAAAAGAAAAAGAAGAAAATAAAAAGAACACAAAAGCTGATTTCTGTCTCTATTTATTCAATTAAACATACTGAAAAAATGCATTTTCCTGACAGAATGTCACAGCTCCTGCAGTACTGAAAGAATACTCATCTGTGGGAGCAAAAACCTTCTGACCTGAAGCTATGCCTGAACTCTGTATTTTGTCCATATTGCCCATAAAGCGGGAGAATATCAGACAATAGCAGCTGTAGCATTAGGTTCAAATGCAAGAACTTCCTCTGTAATAGAGACTTTTCAGATAAAATTTAATCTGTGCTATCCACCCATCTATCAAATTCAGTGTTACCTTAATAGATACAAGAGACACTTTAAATGGATGGATGATACTTAGTTATAAGATGGATACATACCTCTGGATCTAACAGGTAGGTAAACAGATTAAGCACAAATTTTATCAAAATAGTACTTTACATATATAATTCATATTCTTTGTCCTGAGCACCCAGCATCCGACTATTTTTAACCCTTCACAAAGTCTATCAATTTAAGCTACCAGCAGCTGAATCTTTTAACTTCACCTGCAATTATGTCTGTGGCAAACAACAGTAAATATTCTTAGATGTTAAAGATGAAGGATTCTCGATAACCCATAACACATAACACATAATGTAGTTTCCCACTATATTTAAACCCTGGGAATGGCCATATTTCTTTTTGTTACTGTAAATTTTGACAGAGACTTTGATACATAAAGAATGTTTAATTTGTACATAATTCAGACACGGCATCAATTACTTTTTAAAGATTCACATGAGAACATGGCCCAGAGCCAATAATCCTGTTGATTTATACTGAAAGCTATCAGCTGAAATCTCTGAATGGAACTCACATTGGAAAACTCAAGTCGAAACAAGAAATATCTCCCCTCGAATCACAGACACTGTAAACATTACATGAAAGACAGCTAAATCAGCCAAATGGCTCATTAGAACTCCCCCCTGCAGCTAAACACAAATCGTGCTCTGTTGCTAGAAAAAGCTGTTGTTTTTTTTTTTAGCTTGGGCAAGCAACGAACATGTGCGATCCTGAGAAAAGCATGCAGTAGGACTAAGGCACTTTCGTTTTGCATGAAGTAAACTCAAGGCTAGCCCTGCTCCACCCTGGTGTTCATTCCCACATGTACACCTTACGACAAAAGCGCCACGTTTTACTGCATTTTCATTGAATGTAGCTCACACATCAGTTAGGGCAAGGGAAAAGGGAAAACTGCAAACTTGCAAAGTTCAAGAGGACCCTGCTATATCAAACCAGCAGCATCTCAACAGACACACAGAAGAGCGAGTTTACTTATGAGAGCAAGAGCCAGCTGTTCCCAGAAGCAAGGCGTCAGGCCACAGCAAAGACAGGAGCTGCAATTCGCTTACCTTGGCTGGTGGGCTTCCCATAGCACACAAGATGGCGACAGCAACAGAAAACCCAATTTGGATAACAGATCTGTCAGCTGACAAACACACTCACGGCTTGTTGTTGCTGCTGAAATAACCTGAAGGACACATATAATTTATACAGGCGCTGAGCTCCACCCTCTGCCTCCTCTGTATGGGGAAGAGATTCTGCCTACGTCTGAGGGAGACATCTACAATGTCAGAGGTGAGAGGAAAGCTGCAGTTATCACATCTCTGCCTGTCACTTTATGCCTCTTACCTTTTGTTATTATCTCAAGACAATCCTTCCTGGCTTATGGGTGAATTCTGCAATGTTCAGAAAGTCTCTCTTCACTTTCCATCTCTTCCTTCTAGTCAGTAGATGAATTGTCTGTATCTGTATCTTAAGTTCTTCCACAGAACAATCGAACAATCTAGAAAAATATATATATATATACATATAAATTTTTGAATTTTTGAAAATGAAGGGAGAAGACAGCCAGATCTTATCTATTAAAATTGGTAGCATGAAAAGGCCATCTGTGAAGGTCCTTTTCAATCCTTTCAATCTCTACATCTGAGACTTGTTTTGATATATTACTGGGAACTGTACTACACACCTGTAAATCAAGCCTCCTTATTTCATTACTTGCTGCATGATAACCCAGCACAGAGATGTTGGTGAAATTGGGATAAACATTGGTAGGGAAAGCTGTATACATCTTCTGGGCTTTTTCCCTTTACACACTTCCTCTAAGAAGAGAGTGTCAAGTTTATATCTCCCAGTTTCCCCCTGCCAGTGGCGGATCTCAAGGCATCCTTTGGAGAGGCCATGGATACAGTTTCCTCCACCTCTTCTGTGCCATCTGTGGGCTGATGGTAGGCAACTGTGGGCTGCCTGTCAGAACAATGCTCCAGGCAATCAGTTCTGCCTGTGCTTTAATCCACATGTACAATTTCATGGTGGCTGTTGTGCAGAGCCAAGCTTGGAAAGGGCCTGGGAGCCATCATAAACTTGCAATAAATATGTGCTCACATGAGCACAGTAATATCAATCACAGGAAGAAATAGGATCAAGCTTCAGCAGACACCTAATATTGATGGAAGGTGAGAGAGTCAAAAGCTAATTTTCAAAAATTGTAGGTAGTTTGGCAAAACCAAAAACAAAAAAGAAGTGTAACCTGAAGAACTGTTTAGGAAAAATAGGGTTACCTGAAATTTTTGGCTGTATTTTTTTTTTCTTACATGCTGTCAATCATGTTTAGGCCACTTTATAGGACACTTCCCACAAAAACAAACAAACAAACAAAAAACCAAAACATTTTATTCAAGTGATCCTGGGTTTATGCAAGTCATAATAAAGAACTTAGATTTACATTTCAAGGAGACTCTGTGACTGACAATGCAGCCACTATGCTACAGGATGGATGCAGGATTAGCAAAGTAGCAGGACAGAGCCTAAAGACTTAGGCTGCCATCTCTAAAATACTAAAAAGAAAGATGTCTGAAATAAACATCTGCTGTAAAATAGAGGAAATCAAAAGGCATCTACAAAAGCCCTAGAAAGATAGAAAGAATTGCGAACTTGCAGTTCTGTTAAAAATCTGTTATCCAGAATGGAGTTTTGGTTTTCCTCCTCCATAGTGCTGTTGCAGCTTTGATCACAGTTTCTACTGCTGTAGCTGAATTGAGAGACCAAAATAGTAGGCTGACAAATTCACCTCCTAAAGAGAAGGCAAATGGAAAAACAGCCAGAGAAAAGTGAACTCCATTCAAAGAGGGGTATGTCTGCCTGGAAACGGAGCAACACATTCAAAACAGAACAGCTGCAGCAGGGAGACCCAGGCCTTTATGGAACAAGAAAGAAGAAAAAAAGCTCTTAAATGTCTTCCAGTCAAGGTGTAGAAGTTATTTTGGAGAGCTATGGAATTAATTTTTCCAATAGCCCCTCCAAGAAATTAATGTTTCCAGTAAATCAAAATGGCCAAAATACATAAAACATTTGTGTTGCTTGTCAACAAGCACACTGACAAGCACCACATCCATTTCCTCCTGGTGATAGGGGAGATGGGATACATGATGTCAGGCTTCACTACGGATATACAAAAAATGTACAGGATGGGGAAAGTAAGACAAAGAAATTCAAGTGCATAAAGAAGGAAAAATAAATCTAAAAGCTTAAATCCAAAATAGAGAGGGCATACAGCAGAATGCATGAAGTGAATTAACTGAATAATAGGCAGTATCTTCAGGGGGGGAGGTAGAAAGCCCTCTCCCTCCCTTTTTGCTATAGGTGGGAACAGTCATGGCAGGATTATATCATTGGAGTTGATAGATGTAGAGAATATGTTTTATCTGTGGTTATATTTTATAAAATGCTGCTCTGGACACAAAGAGAAGAGAGATTCTAGAAAGACTTTACACGTTAATTAAGTTGATATCATCCTACTTTTACAACTGAATCTCAATGCTTTTCTGAATTAATACTAAGAAAGTACTTGGAAATAAGCCAAGAGAATTAAAAACAGAAACAGCCATACCAAATCACACTTGAGTTGAAATGCTTCATACAGAAACTGCTGGCAGTCTCAAACAAGAGATCCTAAGAAATAGAATCCCAATGGAAGGATTGCAAACCTAAGCTCTTCCCAGTATGCAAGAAACAAATGGTAATTAATATGATGTTTGGCTCCACGTAAGTTACCCAGTGTGCTGCTCACTAACAACCTTTGTATGAAGCTACTCACAGGCACAGCTAAGCTGTCAGAAACCAAGCTGCAAAATGACAGGAATTGAAAATGGCTGTGATTTGGATCATCCTGTTGGCGTAAACTTAGAAGGTGAGGCAGAGCTTATAAACGGTACTGAAGGCCCATGGAGCAGTTTCTACGATTTATCCCAGCAATGGCACCAGCATAGCAAAATTTCACATGAGAATGTTTCTAGAACTGATGGACAAAAAGTACCCCCAGTGAAACACTCGGTCCTTTGATGCTCCATCTTAACAGTTTATCAAGCAAGTATGGCAATTACTGAGAACCCCTCTTATAAAAATAAATCATGATTTTGCTTGAAATCATTTTTTCATTCATCTCATGAGATCTGCTAAGTAGAGAGAAGTGTGGATCTTCTTAGAGCTAGACACTGCCACATTGCTGACAAGATGGAGGTGGAAGATGGGGTAACTTTGCAGAGACTTCTTGTTGCACACGACAGTAGCAATGTGAGATGGCAGCCACTTTCTCCATGCCTCATAAATCAGTTCCTGCCTTGCTCAGCTCAGAGGCTGGGTTAGGAAAATTACAGTAATTTGAGTAAGTAATAGTCTATGTTCAAATTCAAATAAATTTTTGTCAAAGTATTTTCTCTATCTCGTCTACAAAATTATAATAAATAATTTGCACCAAAAAAAATTGCATTAAACTATATCTCCATTTTTCAATTAAACAATGCCATGTGAAATTAGAGCATATAAAAAAGCTTCAGAAATGTCAGACTGTCAGACCTTTCAAGACTGAAGTATTTCATTTTGAAATAAAAGCCTTCTAAGTTTCACTGCTCCCTCCACACACAGTTCTGGTTGAGCAAAATCCACACCTAATTTGAAATTATTTCACACCTCTGAATATACTGCAAACATCCATTTACATCACACCTAATGTTAATTAAAACAAAACACTACGTTATCTCTCCCTGAGCAGCTGTCAGGTGATAGCAGCATTACTAAGTTAATAGTCTTTTTGGCTATCAAGATCCAAACCCGTTTCAGAAAAGTAAAAGGTGTCATATTTCTCTTACCTATCTCATGAACCACTGCAATCTTTAAGATATCATATAGTAAAATCAATATCTCTGGCTCTTTATCTATGTCTTTATCCTGACCAGGGTAAGAAAGCTAATAATTTCCTTAGATATTTTGCAGGTGTCGGTGTAAATATGGTGAGATGGTGATCTCCGTAGCTTCAAGATGGGAGGAAATTGCTTATTATTTATCTGGGGCTATCTGAGGTCTGGAGTGCTGTCTTTCCAAGATGCGTCAATGTAAAACCACACATTGAAATCCACTGTGTTTAAGTTCAGAAATTGTTCTTTTGTTCTAAACCAAGTGATTGCAGAGCATCTAATTGAAATAATTGAGTAAGATACCTCAGTGTAATTCCACTCAAGCCAGTTTCTGAGACCTTTATCTTCAGATCTTATTCAAATAGTCTGACACTGATGTCAGTACAAAATTGCTTCAGTAAAGACCTTTGAAGAGTTAGGTAAGCATTACACTTCACCACTTGGCTGGCAGGAAGAATTGACTTATGTTTAAGGCATTTCATTTCAAATTATCAAAGGAAGAGTATCTTTCTTAGCTGCCACTAACCCCTTGTATTTTTTGAATAATCATCTTTTCAGAATCGTGAAATTACCATTTGTTGTATCCTATTGTTTTTCGGTTCAAGTGACTACAAATTCTTTGGGGCAAGATCTACTAAGGCAATGTTTGCTACTCAATGTTATTATACAGACCAAGAGTAATTAAAAAACAAAGTTTACTGTCATATTATGACACACAGAGCGCTATATCCTCTCTAACCCTTCTGCTGTGTCAATTCCCCATTAAGCCCTGTAAGCAATTTTTTTTTCAAGGATCTACCTTTACTCAAGTACAGCCCTTAGATATTGGCTCAGAAGAGCCAGAAGAAGCATACAGGGAAGAACCATACAAGGTTCTACAAGAACTGATTTCAGATAACATGCAAAACGTGAAGGGTTCAGTTCACTCCTGGCAGTAACTACCCTCCAAATAGTACTCCAGAATTAACAAGATTAAGGACAGTATAAGGACAGTAGCACTCCTTGGGCCAAATGCTAAGCTCACTTCAGGAGCTGAAGCAATAGAATTACCTTTTTTTTCTGAGGAATAATCTGGCCTCTCTCTCTAGTGACATGTAGACAATAACTCAGATTAGCTGGCGCATAAAAACTTACCTGGAGATCATGGACAACTAGCACAGTCCATGAGATCTGCCTAAAGCATGAAGATTCACAGAAAAAATGAATATGAGGGGTGGAAAAGATGCCAGATAATTCAGCTCACAGCCCTGCAAGCAGATTATTACAACTCATTATCCTCCATATCAGAAAATCATGGAGCTTCTCACTATCTTTCGGATGCTCTTCTGAAGTTACTACAATGTTGTCAAAATCACCAAGCGAACTTTCCCTTTCATCACTGTATCTTAATTTCTTTTTTCACCAAAATTTCTATATATCAGCCAAACTTTGGGAACAATTTAAGACAGAATAACCAGAGTTTGACTGAAACTATTAGAGCTGTTAGAGTTTATGAACCTTGCAAGTTTACTCACAGCAATAAAAATCACCATGACTTGCTTCTGGTAATGAAGACTACTTTATGGACTCTACAATCATGGGCATTTTAATACAGAAGCTCCTTCTGTATTGATACTTATGCCTAGAGAAAATATTTCAAAGAGAAAAGTTAGATCTGTGGCTGTTTTTCCAGTCCACTTACGCCATTCTTATGACTAAAAGGTGCCAGAAAGTTTTCCTAATAGTGCAACCGGGGATACAGCTTGAGAGCACCCTGAGGTTTATTCCCTCAGTATGAAAGCTGCTTTCTGTCACCAGCTCCCCTCAGCCCAGCATAGAAGGCAGATCACTATAAGCATAGAGCCTGGCACTTTAAATACACTGAGCTTCTCTGTTCATATCAGCAAAGCTCATCTGATGTGTACAGAATCATCCATGGAACCTGATACTATCTCTGAATGTCTCTATGCATGCAAATCAATTGCTCTATTTTTATTTTTTTTAGCAGCACATAAAACAAAACACTTGATTGTAATTTTAAATGCTCTTATTCTAGTAGAAAACTGATTTTTCTTAGGCCCAGCAATTTTTTAACTTCTTCATTCGTGTCATAGTATGGGACATCTAAAGCCCCCAAGATTTTTATACATTGCTTCTTGAAATCTGAGAATCCAGAATGGTCCTCATCTCCTACCAAAGTCAACAGAAATATATAGCATTCAGCATAATAGGGAACTAGGGTGCTTTTAACCTTAGGCCTCCAACATGGTTTATGTAGCAGAAGAGACATGAGATGGCCAACAAGCCTGAAAAACTTTGTAGACCACGAACTACTGAGTCTGTTCAGAACACAAAATTAAAATAAGCTTTCTACACTGCCTCCTTTCCCAGAGGATCCAGAACTATGGGCCAAAGGTATAAAATTGAGACCTAATTTTAGAGGTCTAAAAGGTCTAAAATTAGGTCTCCTTGGCTTAGCCAGGGAGAGCCCACATTGGAAGACACAGACTCACTCAGAGACTCTAGCTTCCAGGGGTAGAGATCTGATGAAGACTAGATTTCAGATGTTGAGCTCTCCTAAACGTACCTCCAGGAATCAAGCCTCACCCACAACCTACCAAGGCAAAGGAGCACTAACCAGTAATGCTGCCTATTCTGCAACACAAGCAATTTGTACTCTGCAACCTCTCTTCATGCAACAGATATGTTGCAAAGTGGCAAAGACCCTCGCCTTATATGATTCAAACCCACTAATTGCTGGTGTTCCCCACAGTGTACTTAGAGACATACTGAATGCGTTTGTCAGACAGGTACTAGCAAGCAAGCTGTGAACCGCAAAACTCCAAAATGTCCTGTGACTTACCTGCACCAGTACCGGGAACTGGCACACTCATCTCAAAGGAAATCTTCTTGGCACACTTCTCTTCACCCTCCCCAAGTAGATTTCACTAACACATATAAAAATTAAGAATAAATAAAATAAATAAAAGATTCTGAAATATTCCTGGGCTGATGCTTCATTCCTCACGCCAGAATTTTGCCTACATAGCTGTTTCACTACCATATGGGTGGCCAAGCAGTCACTTGGGTAGGTTACAATTTTTGATGCTATGGGATCTAACTAGCTGAAAGCAAAGGAATTGGCCAATAGCTGAAGGACTTCAAATGGGCAGCTCATACAATTGCTGACCAGCCTAGAGGGTAGCTCCCGGTAATCGGGCAAAGCTAGCAGTGTCATGGCATCACAGAATGGTGGGTAGCCAGTGGAACAGGCCAGGTGGGTTCACAAGATTTACGAAAGCATGACAACTTTGCAAGCAGGTTCCCATGAAGCTGGAGAACCAGACAACCAAGCAATGCAAAACCCAATCAACATTTTCAAAAGAGTAAGTGTTGCATCAGAAAACTTACGATCTGGTCTATTAATCAAACATCACTTCCTCACGCGTGCTAAAACTGTGAATGGGAAGCACCTGGCTGTTGTTAGCAAATACTATTTCTTCCTCCTCCTCAGACTTGATAAACAAACAGCTTGGACAGATATGTGGAGCACTGAATGGATTGTGCAACAGCTTTGTGCTCTGCTTACAGGAAAAAGAGGAGATAGGAAGTGAGAATTTAAATGGTAATGCTTCCTTTTTCTCCATTCAAATACTCTTTGACTCTGTCATAAATTTTCCACACATCCTAGGCAAGTTAACAAGCAATCCGTACAGTTAAATGAAAGTAGCAATGATCTGTTCACCTGCTTTCTGGGAAACTGGAGCAACATGGAAGAAACATGAACTAGAATTGCAAAAAGAAATTACCATTACAGAATATGAAGAATCCAAAGTTAACATTTGAAAACACCCTTTTCAGACACCTTCAGTTTATGAATGCAGACAGTGCATACTGGTTCTGAGAAACTCAGTGTATTCCTACTAAGCTTCTGTATCACAGGAGACATCATTTTACAGATGGTCTGCAGAGTACCAGATAGAACATTGTCCAGACTTATGTGGCTCTGAATCAAATTAAATTAACGCTTGCATTACATTATTACAGATGCAGCTAAATGTTGTTCACTTGTCCTCAGCCAAACAACCTTCAAGTCTGTGGGGAATAACCTGGGAGTCACAAACTTAATTAGTAGTTTCACTCAGGCACCAGGCAAAGTCTGTAAGAAGTAGTGACCAAGGCAGTTTAATTTTCGTTCAATATGCTCCTATATTATAAAGTCTATATTAATAACCTAAATAGAACACATTACAGTATCCATTGCAAAACCATGAAACAAAGCTGTAAAGCTATTTGATGCTTTTCTAAACATGAGCAGAATTTTATAGCTGTCTATTAACTACTACTTTTATACCTAACATTTTGGATGAAGAACTGCATCGAGGAACCCATGCCATCACACTTCAGTTTCTAGAGACAGGAACATGCATTTGATTTCTTAATTTTAGTTCTGGCTGTGATCATTCTAGGATTCACTTCCTTCCTACTCACACATGTAATCATCACCATTATGTGGCCAGTCTGTGTCAAGACAGTATTTAACATAAACCATACTGATGACAGAGCATCTCTGCATTTTTACTGCTACCTGCATGATGCCGAGCATGAGTACAATTCCCATCACTTACAACAGTCCCTCACCACTCCAAACTATTCAGGGGAGCAGAGGAACTCCGTGAGTCAAAAAAAAACCTATAGCAAAATGCAGAAAGCTCAAAATCACCTGCAGCTGGAACAAGAAGTACTGAAAAGATTCAGAGACATCTTCCTGATCCGCTGCTACCGGAAGTTCATCAGTAGTTTCTCAGGTTATACAGTACCAGCTTCTCTACTGTCCATTTAGTCGTTACCTCATTAATTCGAAAAGTCAAAAGCTTTGACCTTCTTAGATATTTGCACATGTTCTTCTCTGGAACACCATAACTGGTATGAACAGGGTAACTCTCAGTTACAAGTCACTTGCCAGTTCAGGTGCTGAAGTGTTTGATGAAGCAGAGCACAACAAAGAAATATATTCAAATCATTACTTCAGCCTCCCTTCTGTGTTCACCACCAAAAACCCAACCCAGGTGTTTTATTTGTAGGCTTAATTGCTGTTTAACTCCTGTCCTTTCTCTTCTGCTTTCTCATGTGTGTTGGTGTTTGCGTTGGTGTTCATGTAATCTGTTCAGATTGTAGGGGGTTTTTTTTGAGCAACAGCTCATCTGGGAGTTTTGTTGCTTTTAACAAAACGGGGCTCATTTGTCTTTTGACATTTCTCAGTACTGCAGTATCAAAAGTGACAATAAATTCTATTTCTGATCCTTCAAATCTGTCTTATAGCTAAACTATGTATTTTCCCTCCTACACTTTCCTTTCATATTGTGACCCCCCGCTCACCTCAGCCTCCGCACCACATTTCCCTCCCACATGATCTCTAATTTTAAACCAAGCGTGGATGACTGGCTTTTATGTATAGCTCAATCAGACAGTAGGAAGTCAGGAGGTACAGAGAGAAACGTATACATGGTATAGGTCATATTAAATAACGATATCTGGCCACAGCTCTGAAAAATCCATCTTTCTTCCATGCATGAAGCCTTCCTTTACATCTCAGCATATATTAGGAGTGTAATGTTGACTGATATCCACAGGCAGTGAAAGCCTATGTTTATAAAAAAGGCTCACACAAAGAGACAAGCTGTTCCCATTATTTCAAGGAGTCTACCTCTTAGTCTAACAACATCAGAATCTGAATGCCCTCATACAGAATGTAACTTTTCAACAAATATGGAGTAACAGAGCTGCCCAAGAAATACATGGCACGTGACAAGACACAAAAGCTATCTCAGAAGAAGCCTTGCTTCCAGAGAGTTGGGTTCATAATACCATGAAGGTAGGATACACATTCCCTTCCCCTTCCTCACACCTTTCTTCCCTCAGCAAACATTGTGAAAGGAGTTCCTGAGCCAGTGTCTATTTCTTTATTCATATCCCTACTATACAAACACTAGCCCTTCACTTGCATTTCATCTGTGTCACCGGGTTTCAGCTTTTCCTGTTTACAGTTGATGTACCAGTATGGCAGCAGCGCCATTAGGATAATTACAGTAGTTAAGATAGGACTCCCTCACACACTATCAAGAGTCCTTTTGTGTCTCAATAATGAGGTCAGCAGTTTCCAAGATTCATAGAACAAGGACAAATTGTTTTGACAGTGTGCCAGATTTACTCCCAAGATGGCCTGTACACCTCCTGCTTCTCTGCATTATCATTCCATGCTACTCCGTACTTCAGGCTTTTCTTCCACAGGATGAACCATATCAAGCAGAAGCTCTTATCCTAAGGACTACCACCAGCACAGAAGCCACGGAGGAATTATTTCTAGTTGTGCAATTTCTATTGTTCACATAATTAGAAAAGCAGTGGAGGGGGGGAAGGAGAGGAATTACAAGCCAAAACACTGCATACTACTAAGCTGTTGTTACAGTGCAAGTAAGAAGAGGAAATACAACTTATCTCTGCTCAGCTCTAGCCTGTGAGATCTGACCATCCAGATTTTTTTTAGCATTTAGTCTCGTGTCTCATTCAAATCTCAGTTAACACAGTTATTTCCAATAATACACAAATAGCATACTATTTCCCTTCACAGGATTCCACTAAGACAAATGTAAGCTTTCAATTAAATGGCATTTTTGTTAGACATGTCTTGTATTACATTAAAAATTTATGAATCTTCTCTATAGCCATTTCCTCAATTCATACCAATGCATTATAACTCATACTGAGGCACCACAATTACTCATAGAACCACACTGCACAGACCTAATGACTTTAAGTAGGTTTGACTGTGTATTTAAATTGAAGATAAGATAATGGCAGATAAACCAGCCTCAAAACAGGCTACAGCTGAACTCCAGGACCCCAGTACAAAGTTGGTACTGAAACTATCACTGAGATACATACACAATTCTCAGCAGCTACGCAGAGAGTAAGTTTCATGGAAGACACAACAGCTGACTTTGGAAAAGCAGTGTCTACCTAATGTTCCAGCAATATAAAAGCCCCCTGCATTCTACTTAAGTGGTGAGTCACTTCCAGAGTCGGTTTTCTTGTCCTCTCCATGGAGTCTTAACCTTGGCTACACAAACTGTGAGGCTGTTAGTGTAAGGCCTGCTGTTCTAGGCTTCCTCACCATTTTACAGAAGAAGCAGTACACACCAATAGTTGTGCTACACAAGATTTTGTGGTCTTTCAATACACCTTGAGCCATGTATCACATCATCTTCTCAGCTAAAGCTCATACTGTATCTGTACAGTAAGCATTTCACTCAGTTGTTGCTATAGCTGTACGTTATGAAACTTCCTAAGCATGCAATGTATCAGCTTTTGGCACAGATTTCTTGAGTAGGTGTGCTGTGCAAAGCATTTGTCAGGACTAGTGTGCACTAACTAGCATTCTGTGGGCCTCAGGATCTACAGTTTCCATTGCTCTGAGTACCATAAGGCCAAGTTTCCCCTGGGCACAAGAGCCAAAGGATGTTCTGCATTCACATATACATAGACAGAAGGAGAAGAGATCTATGACTAAAATGCAGGATGAGTCCAGCACCAATGAATTTTTAAATCTCACACTTGCATCAATTTACAAAAAAGTCTTCCATATAGACGTGCTCCAAATTGCAGACTTACAGAGAACAAAAGCCTCTGGGCAAAAACATATCTGATACCTTCCAGGAAAACAGAAGGAGCCAGGAAACAGACACTTGGTATAAAATATTTTCCTGAAGTATGTCTATAGAAAAGCTTCTGAGATTGTGTCGATTTTATGAAGCATCTCCTTTAGATAACATGACATAGTTGAGATACTTTGAAATTGCTAAAGGCTTTATTCCGAAGGGTTTTGCTGCCTTAGGACACAGTGACACCATGTGGCCAACTGCTTAGCCCAGAAACTACACGTTAATGGA